CCAAACGAACAAACAAAAAAAATGCTTTTCTCTCCCTCAGGTTTTTTGTATGAGACCTGCCTCAGCTATGACTGCTATGAACAGGTGTGCTGTTTGAAGCACTCCAGGAGCCTTTGTAATGCTCCAAACAGCAAGGATAAAGAGGTTCATAACCAAGGAAGCACTTAAAAAATGGCTGAAGTGCTACAAAATAGGGGAAGGGGGATTACCAAGTATTGGCCTCTTTCCAAGATGGGCTGACACAGCATCATTATCTCACATTGTGAAAGGAATGTGCTCAGTATTTCTCAAGGTGTTCAGTGTCTTGCAAGATTGGGTCCTGTTTCAGCACAAGAAAAGTCTTTTGGCCTATGTGTTATATGATCTTTTGTACATTGAGGAAATGTCTGACCTGCTATATATATTTATTTTTATTTTTTTTTTATAGCCCCTGTGTTTAATTTTCATGTATCAAGGTCATGTATGTATATAGTGCCTTGCCAAGGAGGTGAAAAGTTATCAAGGCTAATAAACCATGTAATGCTACACTGAGTCATTGCCATGCCAAGAATCCTTTCAACAAGAACTGTGGAAAATATTTCTCCTTACCACCTTTTGGATGAGACCTAAACCAAGGCCCCACCCATTTGTGCTAATTAAAGATCCCATGTCACTTATTCAAAAGTGATGGTATTAAACCTGGAATCTTGGCTGGATATCAGTTCTCACTAAAGGACCTAGAAAGTCTCTTCAGATGGCAAAGTTATTCTTTATTCATGTTCTCTGTTGTGCAACGGTGCTGGTGTTTGAATGCTCCTGCAGCTTGTCTCAGAAGTTCTTGAAGCTGGACCCTAACATGTTGTTGTCCATGTTCTCGATGTTGGTTAAGGTGGAGCCTCCCTTTTCCATGATATCCACACGTTTTCCCAATTCTGTAGAGTGCTATAGGATCCTCCTGGTTGTGAGAGGCTATCTGTGAGGCTTGCCTTGGAACCTATTAAAATAAATGGAAATTCATTTCCATTGACTTCGTTAGGTTTTTGGACCCAAGTAAGCAGTCAAGTTTTCTAAATTTCTTATTGAGAACCTGTTTGACACCATAAGTTCCACAACTGAATGGTCTAGTCTCTTAAAAGACCACTACTACTTGCAGAAGCAAATTAGCCCTAATGTTAGGTCCATCTACATATTTCAGAGTCTTGTCTTCTGCCTAAGTTTACAGCATGGATCATAAAATGTTATCAGTCACAAAATATGATGCGTATTGTGCTAAATCCTAAAAACGCATATGAAATGTTATAGGTCATTGTGCAGTCTGGTTTCTTTTTTCTCCCTATTGTGGATATTTCATTGCAAATAATGAATTTTGGCATCCTTCATATGTTGTCACCACTGTAATCTGGCTCCTAGACCTGAAGAAGGGTTTTTTGTGCCTGAAAACTGTCTAACACCTCTTTCAACTATACATTCGATCCAACAAAAGATATTACCAAAAGAACTTTGCTTCACACACATGTGAAGGCATGGATCCAAGCCCAGAGATTTTACAGTCCCCATTTAGCATGGCATCTACATAATTGTTCTTTCTATCCTCTAAAATAAGTTTGTCCTTTGCTTCATTGCTTTAATTTTTTTTGTATTATTCTATTTTCTGCATTAAGTAGTGGAGGGCAGCAAATGTTGCAGGATGTCAGTTTTAATCAACTTTGTATATAGCATTTTGAGTTGCTACAGGTGCTACTTAACAGTCACATCCCGAAGGCACCTCAAAGGATGGTATTGGTTTAGAGTGTCCTTTCTAAGAGTTCCAAGATTTGACCTCAAAGTTAAATGTTCTAGCTAATAAGTTGTTATAAATTCACGTACCTCAGCAAACCAAGGAAATAGCAAACTAAGAAAATATCCACATGAGTGTGCTCCCTACCTATGCAGTTATATTAGGCTGTTGTACTTACTCCTTTGTTTAATCTGATCTTGCGTTCTAAAAGTAAGTACTGTAGGATGGCTCTGAGAACACCTTAAGAGGGTTTTAGAATCAAAATTTGTGGCAGAGGTTATCTTTTATTAGACCAACTAGATATTTGCAAAAAAAAACCCTTTATTTGCAAGCTTTCAGGCACATACACCCATAATCAGGCACAGGAGATTGCAAAGATTGTAAAAATTCTCCTTGGTAGAAATGAAAATTCACATTTCACAGGATTGCTGCAAGTGTGGTAAAGTCTCCTGCTTGGAACAGTTCATTTTGTGCAAACTGGGCTCAGAGAAAAGTTGGAAATGTTTCTTTACCTTGAAATTGTCTGGTGGTAAGCAGGATGTAGAATCTTATTTCTTTCTGGTTATGATGTTTCATATTTCACAGAAGAGTGGAAAGATGAAATGCTCTTCTGGGCAAGAATCTCTCTTGTGGCCGGCTATCTCTGTGCTCTGTTGGAATGCAAATTAGCTTGAACAAAGGCAGGAGCAGGGTCTGTGGTTTCAGGTAGTAAATTTTGTTTCCTTGTAAAATTATGAAGTTTTCATTTCACACAGCAGCTAAAGGGTTTTTGCATTTTCAGTATGTATGAGATTTATAGCCCTCCCCGCCCTCCTTTTTTGGTGGCACCCTAGGGCACTGCCCACACAGGGAGGCCCACTGGCAGGGCCTTCTCCTTCCTTTTGGACAGTTGAGAAGATGCCCAAGCTGGGCCCCAGCCCTCCTCCAGTCAAGGGAAAGGGGAGATTTGTGTCAGCCCAGGGAGGTCCGCCAGCTTTGTCGGACCTACAGGGTAGCAGCACTAATAGTACAGATGTGATCTAAAAGTGAACCTAATTTTAATAACACTCAAATCTTGTCTAGTGCTCATCACCCTCCAAGTGCTTTACTGAGGAAGTTAGAAACATCATTTTCATTTTATGGATAGAAAAAAATGAGGCAAGGAGACTAGGAAAGTAACTTTCTCAGGTCACCCAGTAGGACAGTGAGAGATACAGGGACAAAGCTACAGCTTCCACAGTCTCAGCCCAGAGCTCTGTCCAGGGGGTCTTACTGGATATTAGCCATGCTCCCTCACCTCATTGACTTGAATATTAAGACCTTGCTCAGTCTTGTTTCCTCCCTTTTCCCTCCAAGCTCCTTACCATGTAATTGAATGCTCAGCCCTGTCCCCTGATCCTAGAAGGGGTGGTGACTGCTCCCATTCACTCATTTGTTAAGGTTGAAGTGATCAGCATCTTTACAAAGTCATTCTCACTGTTGTGTGCTAGTAGAGAAACAGTACAGCTGAAGTGCCTTTTGGGCTGCTCCTCTTCTAACTGCAAAATTTGCATAATACAAAATAGGCCAACTTATTTTTGCAGTTCCTTTGGATATCCTCCACCAGTGAACCCCAGTGGCTTTCCTGGTTTTACAATGCAGAATGAAAACAGAACCAAATCTGAGGGTTCTAGATCCTCCCTGTGGTGAGACTTATATTGCGTAACTAGCTAATTGCCCGTCAATGATGAATTTCAGGGAGTGTTTACGTGGTCACCCCTTTGGGGCTGGCCATGTAAAGATTCCCACCACTGCCTCCGTTGCACGGGCTCCCTCCCCCTACCTGCATCTGCCTCTCAGCGGGGCCTCCCCTCTCTCCTTCCTTCCCTGCTGCCTGGTCCTGACAACAGCTGCCACCATGACCACCACCCCCCGTCACCACCCCATGCAGCCAGCCTCCCTCCGTGCCCAAGGTACAGCCCCAACCAACAGCCGCCACCATCATTACCTTTTTGCCTCCACCTCTCTGCTGGCTGTTCTGGGGGGTGTCAGGAATGGGTGTTGGGGGCGCTGCCACCATTTTACCTCCCCCCCTTCACCTCAGGCAGGGAGGTGTGGGGAAGCCCCACTGCTCAGGTGGCTGGGACGGATTTACCGCCACCACAAACTTCCCCGGCAGCAGCTCAAACTTGGGCCTGAGCAGCCAGTCTCCACCCACCCTCTCAGCAGTGCATGTGCAATTGGCCAGAAGTGTTACAGACGTACAGACAGACTAAGCCCTTTATTATATTAGAATTTTTGAAAAATGTAAATATAAGAACCATTAGTTTGCATACTAATAAACCACAAAAGAAATCCTCTTTCAGTTATTGGGACATGAAGAAAAGTGCTATGTAACATCAGCACATCTGTATTGAGAAGAACCAGAAGTATTTTCTGCAATGGAAGCCAAGATAGTCATATTAATTGTTTTCAAATATTATGACTCAAATGCTCCCTATTGTCTTTCTCTTGTGGCTTGTAGCACAGTGTTGCTGTGGAGTCTTTGTGATCCTGTTTTTTGGAAACTATTGGTTCCTGGGTGCTCTCTATGTACTATGGCTCTATTCTGACTGGGAGACACCACAGGCTGGAGGGAGAAGATCACAGTGGGTCAGAAGGTGGTCTGTTTGGAGGTTCTTCAGGGATTACTTTCCAATTCACGTGAGTAAAATCTTTCATGACAAATTGTGAAGACTCAAACTGAGAAGGCTTTTATGATGAACATTTTGGGTGCATCCAGATGAGCGCGCACATGCTTCTTTCCCGGCCTCAAACCCCTTTTGAGGCAGGGCAAGAGGCATGTGCAGGAATGAAAAAATGCTCCCCGCATTGCAAGTTTGCTGTGCAGGGAGAAAATTAGACCCCTGATCCAAAAAAAATGAAACCAAAAAAAGTGGAGCAGGGCACGGTCCTAGACCATGCCCTGAGGCAACCAGCGGCTGGGTCCTCCACAGAAATGCTCTGGCTGCCAGAACGTCTCCGTGGTTGGCCCCTCACCTTGGTGCTGAAACATGCGGCCGGCCAGGTTGCATGTTCAGCACCAGGGCTCCAGTGCTGGTGAGTAAGGGGTTGGGGGGGGGGCTAGAGGAG